GAATTAAAAAAAAAAGAGGAAATCAGCAGATCGTATGAAAAAGTTGCGCGCCTCGTGTCATCGACTTGACTCCAGTCATTAACAGAGACTTGTAATAACTCTCCTTATGAAAACAGAACAACGTGTGCTTACCTGTGCAACCTTGCAAACCATTGCTTTTCCTAAACCTTTCCCTGTGTCAATAAAACCAACACAAAGAAACAAGAAACGGCATTTAAACAGATGGACGGGAAGAGGGGAGGGGGAACAGGTAAACATGACAACATTTAAGCAATAGACTGAAGTGTAATTCTTGAAGGTGACTTGAAAGACCCATGGACAGGGACGAGCCCCTGTGCACGGTTAAGCAAATGAGTTGACATGACTTTCCAGGCCATGCTTCCAGTGAAATGTGAAAGACTCTAAATGGTTTAATCAACTTTAAGTACCTAACCCTTAACCGTTTAAAATCATTGGTTTACTGGCCAGTGAATGTTAGATAGATTTTGAATGATTCATGATGGTTTCCAAGCAAATGAAAAGGGTTACAAGTGTTTATAGATGTCTGATGGAACCCCCCCCCCCTATAAAAAAGGGGGTGGGGCGGGGAAGTGAGGGGAAGTTATGGATTGTGGTTAACCTTAAAACAAACTAAAACAAAACAAATCAAGCACCTTTTCAAGTGTTTCCTTTGTCCCACTGAAATATGGCAATTTGGCACATTTTGTGGCTCATTTTGTGATCAAAGTTCACAACTCATGGAGCCTGTCTTCTTTACCTCTATGTGATGGCTGAATAAACAGATCTTCTAGGTACAGCAACCTTTCCTATCCAGGTGCTGTATGCACAGAAATACATGGCATACGCCACCGTGGTTCCTTTAACTGTGGGGTTCCTCCTCATCAAACTGCCTCACCACACAAGACAGTGGAAGAAAGGCGTGATCTCCGAAGCTATCATTTCCAAAACCTGATGAGTAAAATCCATTTGGCACGACGGTAAATCTCAAAGCCATATATAGACAGCATCCTTAATGAAGACAGTTATTGAAGACCAAAATTGATATACATGTAAGGCCAAAATAAAAAAACAAACATGTTTAGCGTCCCCCGCCCGCTTACCCTTTAAAAGGGAAACGGGTCTCTGTCCAAGAGTGGACTCAGACTTGGACCAAGACTGCAAATGCCAAGCATGTACCTCTAGTACAAGCTAGTGAACATGGTAAGAGGTACATGTATGCTCAGAATTTCCCGGGGCGGTAGCGCCGCCAAAGTTCTTTAGATCTTGTTGACAGTACCTCTACGGCCGTGATGGGTTTATCGTGCTTGTCGGGGATCTGCTGCATTGGGGAAATAAATTAAAACCCCAGTCTTGAAGTAAGACTACCGATGAAGGACAACATGGACTGATGGATGAGACGATGAGGGGGGTCCATGCTGGGAACATGCCACATGTGGATCTGTGCATACAGCGCTTGGGTAGTATGGTTGAAAATCTTCTGTCTTTCTTAAAGGGATCCTTGGGGCATGAACCTTATACGGCATGAAGATCGCAGAGATTTTAAAGAACGTCCCAAGGCTCAGAAATGCCCAAACAACTATAACTGTCAATGGGGCATGATGCCACTTGAAAAAAATTATAGTGCAAGACATCTGCCGTTATTTTTATTACAAACAGTAGTTGTCAAACTTAGAGGAAAAGGGAAGGTTTGTTGTGCAACTTGGCCATGAGAGTTTAGTTATTGAATGAGAAGAGGTTATTCCCCGTGGCATTTTAAGGTTATCGGCAGATGTGCGGAAATGAACCCGTTAGGTTTTGAAAGGAGAGACGAATGACTCAAAGAATGGATGGGGACGTTTCATGAAATGGTCAAAACCGGTTCACAACGCCTCTCCTTATTACCTCTATGAGTTGGCTTAATATATAGGTCTTCCAATACATCCAGCGGCCTACCCAGGCACTGTAAGCATAGAAGTACATGGCATACGCTACCACAGTACACTCCCTTGCCTTCCTCACACAGTCAACCAGGGGGTATGTCATCATCGGTTGCCTCGGCAACGGAACAGTGAAAGAAGGCTTGGTCCCCAAAACTGTCATTCTGCATATCTGCACATGAATGATGAGGATAGACCTGATCAATAGTGTGGGTCTAAATCTTAATTTGAAAGGTCACAAAGGCTGTTTTACAATTTTTATATCCTGATTCAGAAAAATATAAAATAGCACATCAATCAACGAAGTGTTTAGCTCCCCCCCCCGCAAGTTTTGTTGACGTTCGTGCATTTGTTTTGTCATGTTTGTAGCCTACAAACTACACTGCTAGTGCTAGTGCTACAAAAGTACACATGAAAATGATAACTTGTCTTTACCTTGTTCTGTGTTTTTGACAACTTGGTCGGGATTCTCCTTCATACTCGGCAGTTCTTTGATCAGTCTCAAGATATCGCCACAGTCCTCGGGCTTCGCCTGTCGCACAACATATCGAAAACCCATCGCAAGAAGGAGAGATTTCGATCATAAAATCTAGAACTGAGTCGAGGTGAAATCGAATTAGCCGCAGCGCCGATGATAAAAAATCATTAGACTAACTCTTGATGGCGCTATAACAACTTGCAGTACAAGATGTATAGCGCCACCAGCTGGACAGGCGAAGTTAAAATTATCAGACCGTCAAAACGAATTGCATCTTTCACTCTTTCTGTCTTTTTTTATTTATATATTAGTTATTTTTTTGAAGGGGGTGTAAAATGTGACCAATGTCGAGGAAGTCAAGAGGAAGTCCAGAAACATCGTCATTTAAAAACATTCTCCAACGCCATTGCAAAATGTAACCAAGACTGTCGGGTCCAATAATATCCTCCCAATTGTTTTTCTTCGGAAGTAAAGTCAACTGAATTATGTTTGTCTCTTTCACAGGTTAATTTGCATGGGAAGCAGCAAGACCAAGATGAAGCTCAAACCAATCGTGATTGGGTGTGTACATGTACATGTTGGCCTTTATACGCACTAAAAACCAACGCGCGACCGAAGGAGGGGAGGGCCTGGGCCTGGGGGGGGGGGGGGGGGGCAGAGTGGCAGAAACAACGAGATTGATTTTTTTTAAAAGCAAAATCAGGACGCAGTAGAAGCGAAATCGGAACTTGAAAGTGGGTTAATCGGGACGAAAATCCTGTTTTTGCAACGGGCTAACAAAACCATGGCTACGCGCCTGCGCCAAGGTCTCAGTGAATTGTTTTTCCAAAGAACATTTTATTTCTGAATGAAGGACATCAATACTTAAAACATAATTGTACTTTTCCAAATCATTTCAGCAAATAGGATGCGTCCAGAATGAATGCTTAGGTTTAAGATTATATTTCAGGATCATACTAAAGAGAAACAAAATCTATAAAGAATCTGATGAAATTGTTATTTGATAACGTTTTCAAAGCTACACTGCGGGAAAAAAAATGGGCTGTTCATGTGTTTTTGTTTTAATAAAACAAAATTATGTATTCATAACTGAGTATTTATGTCATGAACAATGTGGGTTATTACCACGAAAGACAGACACTCTTAAAGATTCTCACTCGCAAATTGAATAAAATCAGAGACACTTTTGTCGCCCACTGGAGAAGAAGGCAATGGATGGTTGTCAAGACTGAACATGCGTGGTATCCTTTCTTGTAATGCTTCCAAGTGACTGGCACTCCCGCCTTCTCCAGACGCTTGGCGTACATGATGCCGTCATCTCTCAAGACGTCATACTCGGCGGTCAGGATGTAAGCCTCTGGGAGTCCTCTCAGTTCTTCTCGCATGAGAGGAGCGAAGTCTGGATCCAGGAGAACCTCTTTAATCTCGTTGTAGATGTCTTCATCCCCAAAGTCGGTTGAGGGTGCTTCGTAACCAGTCTGTTGAACTCATCCGGGATGAGATCATGGGAAAGGCATTTTTTGACTAAGGCCGATTTCTTGGCAGCAGATGATGTGTGATTGTTATGCATCATCGCCTTCAAGGAGCTACCTTGCCCCTTCTTACCGCGACCGTACAGATCCATGCATAGGCCACGTAAAGTCGGTCTAATATCAATGTCTTCAGGTCCCCAAGTTGCTGGAAAGACGTCGTGTAGAAGTCAAAGGCTTGCAAGGCTGGATAGATCAAGACTTGCAGCTTAGGCTTGGGCAGATCTCGATACTGTGGATCAAAGATGAATCGTTGTGCCATCGCTGCAGCCAGGTTCCCTCCAGCACTATCGCCCATGACGGCAATCCTGGCAGGATCGACGTTGAAGTCGCTGAGGTGCTTCAGGAACCAGACTGTAGCAGCTGAACAGTCGTTTAGCGGCGCGGGAAAATGGATATTTGGGCGCCAAACGATACCTGTAGATCAATGCAAACAATGCCATCAATTATGGTTTGCATGCATGTGACATGACGCCAAAGTATACCAAGCTTGCCGTGCACGTAAAAGGCAACCCAGAGCTACGGCTCCGTCGAACGTCAACATGTTCACACTTGGTTTTAAGTGCCAAAACCTAGACCAAAGCCAGAGACTCGTATTCTAGCCAGTCATTAAATGATCTCCGTCCCTCGATCGACATCACTCATTTTTACAGATATAGCTAAAACCAAAACAATGAAAAGACATTTTTAAAGCAAAATGTGTATGATCCATGTTTGGTGCACATTTTGTCACATCAAAGAATGTTGACGGACTTACTCGACAGACACGACGACCAAGTTTAAGATCTCTCGCCATTAGCGCCGTGACAGATGGTAACTATCTGGTGAGGAAGAACATGGAGTATTAGGTAGTTGATAATGAACATAAATGCCGATGAGGAGACTGATGAAATGCAACCCATGCCAGAGGTGGAGCCAGATTTGGATTAGAAGGCCCGGGGGGGGGGGGGGGTAGCTGAGGGGGGTTAGCTGTCAAGAGTGTTTTTGTACACGATGTTCCTATTATTTGACGGCCCATGTGCCAGACTCCCTTGTACACTGCTTACCTACGCTTCCTCGTATCCACCCTCCGCCGTGATAGTAGACGATGGCCGGCCGTTTATCGGTCTTCCCTCCCGCTGGCTCATCGGCAAATATCCGGACCGGTACCCGTCAAACACCGTGTCTGTGTACGGTACTCGCGGCCGGCTGCCCGTGCATTGCTCTGGATCGCTCGTCCAGCCAGTCGTTGATGCCGGTGGGTAGAACAAGCTTCCAGAAAATTGACTAGAAAAAAAGTATTAACATTAAATTTGATTTAAAACAGTTTACTAGTTAAAAAATTGAAGTGAATATTTAGCAGAATTTGGCGGCCAAGGAAGAATATATAGGGATAGGCCATTTGGTAAAGTTTTACAGGAAAAGGTTATTATTATAAGCAAGAGAAACCCATACGATATAGGTGCGGCAAAGTACCCAATGATAATTTAATTATTAACATGGTTATTCTCATGGACTAGACCTATATACCAAAGTAGCCTCATTATCTTAACACACTCACGAATCTCAATTTGAATGCTGCAACTTTTATCGTCCATGGACTATCAGCTACATCCTCAGGTACCGGTAGCAGCGCCAGGTACGCCGCAACTGCCACGGCGACCACTAGAACCGCAACATGCAACGCGCCATGTTTCTTTTTTACCTTCTAGTTCCGCGTTTAGTGAGTGCTGTGTCCGTGCAATAATGCAGCTATGCTTGAAGTAACGTTGTTTGAATGCGCTACACGGATCCGTGCAGCACAAAGTACACCATCTGTCCTTATGTTCCACTCATACTTGGCACTGACTCACAGGTCAAACATACTGCAGATAGGAACCATTCAACAGTCGAACTGCGTTGCTATAGTAGGCCTAGATGTCTGATAGCACACTTGATCATTGATCCATGAACTTTACTTCCCCATTTCTGTTGGGAAGAAAACATAAAACTACATGTACACTGGTGATCTATATATACCCAGACTATCCTCAAATATTTGCGCAAAATGTATGTCTACGTCCAGATTCGGTTTTCACATTTGGATATGTGCTAACACCATGTCAAACATTCACCACTAAAACTATGTTTCGCTAATTGTTCTACAATTTCACAGCAAAAAAAAAAAAAAAAAAAATCCGTACATACCACAATGACAATAGAAAGTGATATTCTTGGTTTTTATTGCTTATTCTTGTATAGAAAAAATATAGTTCGATTTTTATTTAAAACGTACAATTCGGATAAAAAATTCTTCTGAAATTATACAGATGACACATTAATTTAAACGAAGCTGCAAAGTCAAAGAACTGCTTCTCGATCAGTAGGCCGTCACAACAATATAACAAGTAAAATTGTCCATGCGAACAAAATTATTGCAAGAGTTTTACACTTCGATCAACAAAATTATCATACACAAGGGCGGATCCAGAACACAATTTTTGGGGGGCCAAAAAAAAATTTGGTCCTCCCAAAAAGTGGGTCAAAAAATTACGGCGTGGGTTCGGGGCCCGCTTAAGGGCCCCGACAATTTGTTGGATTCTAGATGCTCTGTGGTGCGATCTGAGGCAATTTCTGACCACTTTAACCAATGTTTTTTTGAGGAAAAGATGGTGGTGTACTCATTGCCTGACTTTATTGCGATGTCACATAAAAAAAATAAAAATGGTTTCGTTTTTTTTTTGGGGGGGGGGCATGGCCCCTTTGGCCCCCCCCCCCCCCCTGGATCCACCCTTGATCATACAACGAGTTCTTGGCAACAGACGATCAAAACATCATTGTTGGAAGAAAATTGACGAAGCATCTCTGCGTCTCAAATTTGATGATGAAATTCATACTACTGAGAGTTTGCAATGTTGCAATCATAACAGGAATTTTACATTCATCTTTTGCACTGCCTTCAGATTTTGAACGTAAGTGAATTAAGAAACTTGATTGGTAAAATTGAATTTCCCGTATGTTGTAGGCCTAGTCCTTAATTCCTCCAAAAGAAAATTATCCAAAATTTGACAATAACTTGAGAAGTTGATATATGAAAACCAATTTTGGAAAGTTAGTGTAACATTATATTGAAACCATAGTGTGGACGTCATTAAATTCGCTTTACTTTTGAATGAAATATGATCATTATCGGGGTTTAGCAAACCATACACCCTTTTTGTAAATTGTGGTTCTGTATAACGTTATGAAGATTTGGGCTAATAATTAACGATCTTAATATTAGAATAATTTAGTCTTAATTTTCATGATTCTGGCCAATGTGTTTATAGATTTTTTCGTGCAAACTTAAGAAAATCAGAAACACACTGGGTGCCTGGTGGTGTTGTGACTGTTGGAAGGTCCTCCTCGCTGGTGAACATGCCATGAAAACCTTTCTTGTAATGCTTCCAAGTGACTGGTACTCCGGCCTTCTCAAGACGTTTTAGCGTACATGATGCCGTCATCTCTCAGGATATCATACTTGACGGTGATGATGTAAGCCTCTGGGAGTCCTCTCAGGTCTTCTCGCATGAGAGGAGCGTAGTCTGGATCCAGGAGAACCTCTTTAATCTCGTTGTAGATACTCTTATCTCCGAAGTTAGTTGCAGGGGCTTCGTAGCCAGTCTGCTTGAACTCGTCCGGGATGAGATCGTGGGACAGGCACTTCTTGACAAGCGGGGACCTCTTAGCGGCCGCGGAGGTGTGGTTGTTGATGCGCATCGCTTCACGGTAGCTCACCTTGTTACCACGGAGATACGAGTCCCACATGAACGTCATGAGCGGCCTGTCTAGCAACAGTGTCTTGAAGTCGCCATATTGCTGGTAAGATGGGTTTGGAAGTCAAACGCCTGAAGGCACGGATAGAGAAGCGCCTGAAGCTTGATCTTGGGGAGGTCGCGGTACTTGGGGTCAAAGGTAAACCTCTGCGACACAGCTGCAGCCAGGTTCCCTCCAGCACTATCGCCCATGAGGGCGATTCTTGCAGGATCGACGTTGAAGTCCCTGAGATGATTCAGGAACCAGACTGTTGCAGCGGTGCAGTCGTCTATGGCAGCCGGGAAAGGATACTTTGGCGACAAAGGTAACTGGAAATAAAATTGACGCCAAAAAAATCACATCCCTTGATCTTTAGAAAACCTCTGCGGTGGATTATAAAAAGAAAACAAATATCGTGTCATTATGGATGTGTAATGTTATGTCTTGGGGCGGGACTATAACTTACTCGACAGACACCACAACAGCATTCAGATCTCTTGCCAGCAAGGCCGTTACGGGATGGTGGTTATCTGAAGGTAGAAAAGATGCAGGTTTAAATTTCAAAAGTGTCAATAACATCTTTGATATACTTCAATACGGAGTCAAAGGATTATATTTCTATTTCCAAGGTATTCCTCACTGTTGATTACAACGAAAAGTGCGTCCTCTGCCGGTGGGGCTCGAAGACCCAAACAGTTTTCTGTATGACGGGGAGAGTTTCTTTGAAAACTTCGTATGCATCGAGAATTTCAGATGATTAGCCAGAATTTCTTAAAACGCCTGAGATTTGCGACTACATCGATAATTAGTTGATTATAGGAAATAATTCATGTGCCATATACTTTCCACCTTGTTATATCATTATTGAATGATGGTTGTCAAAATGAGTACTGAGCTACCCGTGAAAGAATCAATTTAAACGAGCAATCAGTTTAAACAAACACCCTTTAAAACATTTATCGATCAGGACTTTATCCTCCAGTATTCAAAATAGTCAGGTATACTCCGACGCTCCACTCACCCACGCTGCCCCTTATAAACCCGCCGCCGTGATAGTAGACGATGGCCGGCCGTTTAGCCTTCTTCGCTCCCGCTGGCTCATCGGCAAATATCCGGACCGGTACCCGGTCAAACACCGCTTCTCCATACGGTACTCGCGGCCCGGCTGCCTGTGATGCTGCGGCAGACTTTTCCTCTAGCCACTGGTTCAAACCAGTCGGTGTCCACCATTTTAGATGGCGTTTCTTTAAAGTGCAAGAACAAGACAAGACAAACCTATATACATTATTCAATAGGAAGCCATTTTCGATCGTGTTCTCTGAATTTATTTTATAAATTGTAAAGTGTTGAATGAGATGGTGCCAGACTATTTTATGATTGGAGAGCGTTAAAAGCCTTACTTTCAAATGTTTCCTTTCAAAATGCGGCTTAAAACATCAGGTATGCTTAATCACAATTTTTTATTTATTCATCAGAGCAGACTAGTATAAATTTGAACTGTTATTTCATTGCTTTTATATCTACTCACAAGTTCAAAAATGAAGAATTTACCTCGCTTTCAATTTAGTATGGCCGACTCATGAATAAAGTCAATGGACCTATCCAGTAAGCACCGCCCCATGGTATTCTGACCAATCACAGCCGTGATTTAGGTCCGACGTGCGTGCACTAAAGTCCGACATGCGTGCACGCGCGTATAATGCGCGCGGCAGGAAAATGCAGTGTAGCATTGGAGATAACGAGAGGAGCACGTGTTAATTTGCCCAGTGCGCAGTGGGCGGAGCTTACTGGATCGGTCCGATTAGCTGGTCCCAGAGCTCATGCAATTATATTCACTGGGAGTCTGTAATTCATTCATCTGGTCTACACAGTACACAATGGGCAGAATTTGACCCATTCATTGGCGGTACGGGGTAATCCTATATGATAGCACTGCCCGGCCCAAATGCGACGTTCAGTCAGTGAGTCATTCCACTTCCAAATTAAAATCACTTTAATTAATGTCCCCTAATTGTCCACGTGTTTATTGTTCATGCTGAATTGTCCCAAAATTTATAAATGGTGAATTGTATATAATTATTTCCATTAAGTCACGCTGTAAAATGGTATTCAATGGTACACGTAGCAGTTTGATGTGACTTTGTACCATACACGCCCCCTTGATAGTACGGCCAAATTGCTTGTTTTTGCAACCTATATTGGACACGATATTACTCAAAACTCACCAAGTCCTACGGAATGACTCCATTTTTACGGCCCAGGGCCTCTCGCCCACATCGTCGGGCACGGGTTCCAGAACCACGTACGCCGCCACCGCCGCTACGACGACAATAACTGCCACAATTAACCGCGCCATGTTTGCTTCAAGTTGTTCGGATCTCAGGGGGTCATAGGATGAACAATCAATGTGTTCAACAACCGTACGTGCGATCGGCGTTATCATCATGTACGATGGCCTTGCGTATTATGCTTTTGGCCTTGTAGACAATTTTGTTATGTAATTGCTATTATTGGACGGATTTGAAACTAATCGCTAACCAAAAAAACCCGCGTTTATTGTCTTCTTCCTTATAATTGGTATAATTATGCATGAATTTACATGTATTAAAGTCTTTTTTGTATACAAGCAAAATATTTTTCGCTATAGACTTTTTGCAGAGAAGGAACATGAGGAAAACACTATAAAGTTCCGGGTCGTCTACACGTTGCGCTTATACGTACGTAGGCGTCTACATTCAGTACTATATGTAAATAAAAACCCTAGCTAATAAACCAGGACAGAAAACTTATTAGGGCCCATTCAAAAATGTTTTTAAATTTGGATTTTTCCCCAAATTTTGTTGACCAACCCAGCCACCCCTATTTCGGTTTTAAAAATTTGATTTGTCATTCAAGGTCAAATACATGTACATGTAGGCCTACATGTACTTGCATACAACATTATACTTGAAGATGTACATGTGTGTCCATACACATGTATGTCCATGAACATTGTGTGCCAAGTTCAGTACGTGTCGGCTATATATAGCTGCTCCCCCTGGTTGCATTGGTGCCCTGGGAAATTGTGCTTCATCAGCTGATAGTTGGATTAGGTATCAGACTCATTTAATTGTGAACTGCGCTTCAATAATTATTAGGCGAAACAAGTTTCTAGTCCGGGGTTAAAAAAAAATGCGGCATTTTTTTGCCCAAGATGGCGGATGACTTCTTCCTGATTTTGAACTGTCATACACAGCTACAATTTTGCTGGGCACAAATCATGGAGGAATATGATTGAAATATAAAGGGACAAATGTATTGGAAGTGGTTGATTAACGACCCAATTAGAAACTAAAGGAGGCCAGAGGAAAAAAAGAAGCAGGCGGAGACGTGAAACTAGTTTATTTCTTTACTTGGCCTGGTGTGTCAAAGACAGTCAACGAGTTATGCACGCCTCGTGCTCCTGCCCCTCAGTTCAATCATTGGAGTTGACATAGAAAAGGTATTGCCTATCATGTAGAATATTATTATTTAACAATCACAATCTCGTGTATAAATCTCGTGTAGATAAGAGACTAGACAGCAAATTTACACTCGTCGATCAAGGTCTGTCTCGCCATGGATGATGCTTTAACCACGGATGCTTTAACGCTCGTACACTGCAAAAACTGAAGTGTTAAATTTACACTGTTGGTATCTATATAGGACCACTGGTGTTAAATTTTACTGGTGTTGTCCTATATAGATACCGAATGGTGTTAAATTAACACTACAGTTTTTGCAGTGTACAAACCAGTTGCACGGCATGCTTAGTCAAGCAAGCGGGTTCGCCTTATAACTTCCAGTTGAAGGCCGGGAAATATGTCGCTAGGAAAATGCTATAGTTGATGTCATATGCAGATTTCCAATGTTAACAGGTATTAAATATAAACAGGTATTAAATATAAACACAAAGGAAGAAACGTTAACAAATCATGCGCTTACAAAGTTTAACCATTGCGCAAATCGTGTATAAATTGTATTTTATATTCATATACATTACTGCGTTTGAGGACAAAGCGAGACTACTAAACAAGAGCGCGAATGCACTTCTAAACGTTAAAGGTTTTTACTTTCAATAGGGAGGTTTCGCAAGCGAACGGATACGCTTACACTTACGTTTAGCTATCCGTATCCGTTTTTTACTTACGTGTAGCGAGCGAGATATGCATGTGGTCTCCACGTATGACGTCATACGCCACTCACTATCCGCTAAACGTGCAGACGACACGCATATCTCGCTCGCTACACGTAAGTAAAAAACGGATACGGATAGCTAAGCGTATGTGTAAGCGTATCCGTTCGCTTGCGAAACCTCCCTATTATTGGAACCCTACATCTGCGTTATCTATAGTTTAGTTACTAATCATTATACGGGAGCTACAACCTGCGTTTAGCAATTAAACACAACATTGTTATCACTAATGTATTGTTTAGGCCAATTCCTAAACCACAATGGCTAAACACTATCCATCAAAACTCTAAACATGTTTAATATTTAAACTCTGTTTACAAACTGACATCAAGAAAGTGTTAGGAAAGGTGTTTATTGTTAGGCAGCAATAAAACAATAGATATAAAATCACACAAAGCTTGAGCGGCAAAGAAGAATGAAAAGGCACGGTATTAGCTTTGTGGAGTACTTACTACAGAGTCTGATAAAGGCCAACAACTCTAAATTACGGAAAGTGAAAAAAAAAACACTGATGAGAAAAGCTAGAATCAAGTTAAGTAAACCACTGATAAAGACAATCCATTCAAAGACGTTGCTTTGCGTACGCAATGAAATGCCAGAAGCTCTCTTCGACCATAGGTGTGCAAACTAACGGGCAACTGGGCCCGGTGCCGAACATACCATGGAAACCTCGTCGATAATCCTTCAGTGTTACTGGCACTCCTGCCTTCTCAAGACGCTTGGCGTACATGATGCCGTCATCCCTCAAGACGTCGTACCCGGCTGTCAGGATGTAAGCCTCTGGCAGACCTCTCAGGTCTTCTCGCATGAGAGGAGCGAAGTCTGGATTCAAGAGGACGTCTTTGATCTCCTTGTAGATGTCTTCATCCCCTATGTCGGTGGAGGGCACTTTGTAGTCAGCCTGCTTAAACGGGATGAGATCGTGGGACAGGCACTTTTGGGCTAGTGGGGACCTTTTTGCGGCCGCAGAGGTGTGCATGTTTGCCTGCATCGCGTCTTGCAAATTCGGCCCGGCATCTTTGCCACGAAGGTAACTGTCCCACACCATGGTCATCAGGGGCTTGTTGAGCAGCACCCAGTAGTTGCCATTCCTTTGGTAGGAGGGGGTGTTAAAGTCGAAGGCTTGCAAGGCTGGATAGATTAAGACTTGCAGCTTAGGCTTGGGCAGATCTCGGTACTCTGGGTCAAAGGTCAAACGTTGTGCCACCACTGCAGCCAAGTTCCCTCGGCGCTGTCGCCCATTAAGGCAACCCTGGTAGGATCGACACTGTATTTGCTGAGGTGCTTCAGGAACCAGACCGTAGCAACTGTGCAGTCGTCTAGCGGTGCGGGAAACGGGTTTTGGGGCGCCAGTCTGTATCTGAGGCAGAAAAAATACGACCAGTATATTGCTGATGCTATGTCACTCATTACTAGATACGTACATGTATTATAGTGACATACAGTTATTTGTAGTGCTATTTTGGGGAAATTTGTTTTGAGAACCCGCATGCAGTATATTTGTTACTGCTGTTGTTGTTGCTGTGGTTGTTAATGTTGTTAATGCTGTTTGTTACTTGGAATCGGAATGTAATTAAGAATATTAGGCCTACCGAAATTGAATACACAATACACGTAGATCATCACCCCACTTAAATACACGTGATACTCGCCATGCAACTTACTCGACTGAAAGCACGACAGCATTCAGTTCCTTGCCAACTGCGACGTCAATGGATGATACATATCTGTGAATAAACCCGATTCGATACCGGAATTGGTAAGTAATGGATTTATATCGTGTACTTAGTTATTTTCAACGTGAATTACGTGTCTCTCATGTTCATTGTAATCATTACGTCCACACCTTCTCAAAATAATCATTTCCTTTCCAATTTGTTCATTTTTATATGAAATGTGATACTGCTCATTACTTGATAAGATTGTAACATTTTAACTTCGAAAACAATCGTGTTTTCGTAACTCATGGCACGAATTGATTCTGTTTTTTTTTTTTACTGGCCCCAGACACTGCATACAAAAAACCGCTAATGTAACACAGGCAGGCAGGCACCTACTATTCCTTATTTTGCACACGTATCCAAAATTGTTGGATATGCAAATGATCCAAAAATGAGAGAGCGGTAATGGTGGGCGCGTACTGACGACACCCTGGGAATGAGGTTGTTACGCGTTATAGCGTCATCAAAGACTCACCAGTGTCACCCATGATCCACCCTCCGCCGTGATAGAAGACGATGGCCGGCCGCTTATCGGTCTTTCCTCCCGCCGGATGCGCGTTAAGTATCCGGACTTGTACCCCGTCAAACAGCTCGTCTCGGTACCCAAACCCGGCTGCCCGCTGGTTTGCTCTGTATCGCTCGTCAAGCCAGTCGTTAATCCTCGTAGGTATCAACGGGGTAGCCATAAACTTCTACCAAAAAAAAAAAAAAAAAAATCTCTTAATTATGTTAGCTAGAGTTCGGGAACAGACAATTTAGAGTGAAGATAAAACCACTCCAATTGAAACTCGTGTGAAACTCGATCTAAGAAATATTTAATGATTTTTCTTTATTATGTAAATCGTTTTGTCCCTAAATTCAGTCGGAGTGAATTTCAACAGAATAGAGCACATTTTCATATTTGGAAATGAAAGAGTGCATTAATCAGTTAGTCACATTTATAGGAAACATTTTTTTAACGTGAATTTGAAATAAATTCGATTTATTTGCAATGACAGTGAATTGTCATTGTGGTTTTGGATATTGAAAGCATTGCCCAAGTCCCTTCCACCATTATCGTACAACTACCGATCCACCAGCATCACGACACAAAATAAGGGAATACAAAAATGTGTGCCTAGCCGGTTTTAAACACTATGTATAAGACCCGTTGGAGTCTTATTACCCGTACCCTCGCCGAACATGTTCATAAATACCTTTTCGGAAAATGTTTTTTTTTTCACAATTTTCGGTCCACAAATCAAAATAGTCCAAAATTATAAATTTCTCCTTATAAAAATCTCCTCGTATGGAGATTGGTGCGCGCGTCGCGAGTACTTCGCGATGTGGCGCAGAACGCTGCTGTGCCGGTGTGTTGTGAATTTAGGACTATGAAATGCTGACTCACTTGTAGTGTTGCGCATGCCTACGTAAGGAGTGTGAACGTTCAACCAATTAAACGGTAAAAGGCACCGGATTTCATAGGAGTCCAAATTTCATGCGACGCTGGAAAAGTGTTGAAGACCACCCAGCCGGTCTTTATCATTCGTTTAAAACCGGCCACTAACTTGTCAAGCTCTTGACCAATAGGAATGGCTAAACTGTCTCAGGTACTTATGGATGTTAAATTAAACCCTCCCTCGTTTTCACAAATTCCTGGCCCGGAGCTTTGTTTGTCTTTTCACATATTTGCCACCCATTCCCACTCTCAAATAACCTGGGCCTTTAACAATTATGATTTGTACATGTACTTACGATCATCACGCTATACGTAGCCAGTCTGATCGTCCATGGGCTGTCGGCCACGTCATGGGGGAACGGTTCGGTATAAACCACGTATGCTATCAGACAAGGCACCACAGAGGCGAGAACCAGACCAAGCCACGGACTTCGCCTCCTTCTCGCCATGATTGTACGAATCAACTTTCAAAACGAACGATTCAAACTTCAAATTGAATGCTTGATCGCTCTGGCTGGATCAAAACTAATTCCGTATCTAAGTTTTCTTCTATAGGGGCCTACATGTATACCACAAACTGCTCAACCACGTCCTATTGTTTGACAATAAGGTCAAACCATTCACACGTAGCACCACTGCACAGTCTGATCCTGTAAAAAAATCCCAAAAGCTCAAGCTATCGTACGTTAATACTAAAATCAACAGCGAACAATTTCGTGAATTTTGGACCCTTAGGGTTTATACAAAGCCACCTGTGACTCAGCACATTGTCAATAGACCTATCACAATATCGGCCAACCTTGTTTCCATGGCGTCAAGCAGTACGCTCCACCGATACCCACTCTCTCACCCTGGTATTGGATCATTTGCATATCCAAATGTGTTGGATACGTATGCAAATGAGGAACAATCGGTTACCTGCCTTAGCTTTACATCAGCGTTTGTTTTTGTATGCGATCCGGGTAAAAGAAGGAATAAATTCGTCGCGACGTGAGTTATGAAAACACATTTTGATTTTCAAAGTTTAAATGGTTCAATCATATCCATCCAGCCAATATGCGGTATCATATTGTTTTGCAAAATGAAAAAAGGGCATTGTTTTTAGGTGGACGGGACGTACTAATTATTCACAGCGAACGTTAGCATACGTAATACGCGTTGGAGATAACTACACCAAGTACACGATATAAATCAATAATACTTGCTAATTGCGGTATCGAATCAGGATACAGGAGGCAAGTTTCAAATCCAGGACTACCATATTTGGAAACCAGGGTGGAAATAAAGTAAGCCCCGGAGACGAGGTTGCGATATCGGGCACAAGGTCCATGCGCATTCAGGTTGCAGCTAGTGACTGTTGCTAGTGCTGCGCTTGCCGGCTATTATCGGTACTCACTTGACCGTCACTGGGATCAGTAATGTACATTGACCAATCCATAGATAAAACAATGAATTTCACGCCCGTGCACCCCCGGGTTAGTTGGCGTTTGACATAGTGACGGTATAGATAATGTATTTATTTATTTATTATATTTCGTTATCCAGGGTATTATGCCCAGTGTAAAACTGTTTTACATATAGGGGCCCTGTATTCAAATGACAACACTCAGACAATACGGTACATTACAAATACAATACAAAACGATAAATGGGATTGATGCGCAATTGTTAAGCAACATTTTAAAACTATTTCAGTAACATTCTTCATAGTATATTGTTCTATGTACAGTGTGAAACAACATCGCTAATTAAGTAATAGGCTTTACTACATAGGCCTAGGCCTGAGGTGAATATAGAGTACAGTATCTATCATTTGTGATTTTTTTGTTTGGAAGCAAGTTAAGTGCTCAAAATCTAAAGAATGGTGCTTAGCAACTAACCTGACGAAGTTTCAGCTCAGTAAATGCTGTATATTCCGAGAAACAAATTCTAGGATCTCGTTTTCAATTTAAATTTGCTGAGGAGTCATGTTTTGAATTGCGCCCTAAATCAGCGTCTGGGTCACGTTATCATTCAGCTGAATGCAACTACGCGATTTCACGCACTGAACTTTACTTTCAATATTGGAACCCTACATCTGCGTTATCTAGTTAAGTTACTAAACATTACATGTACACCAGTACCACTCTAAAATCTGCGATGATCAATTAAACACAATCTTGCTATCACTTTGTTAACACATTTAAGCTAAATATTACGTGTCGATGTCCGATTCAAAATTCCTTAACATCAATGTTCATTGGCTAAACACTATCCATCAATACTCTAAACATGTTTAATTTTAAAGGCCAACATAATTATTTTAAAACCCACCTGGAAAATTATACATCCCGGAATCTCAAAGAAGCCATCGATAAGAAGAGCTAGAAACAAGTTAAGTAAACCACTGATAAAGACAATCCATTCAAAGACGTTGCTTTGCGTACGCAATGAAATGCCAGAAGCTCTCTTCGACCATAGGTGTGCAAACTAACGGGCAACTGGGCCGGTGCCGAACATACCATGGAAACCTCTTAGATAATCCTTCAGAGTTACTGGCACTCCCGCCTTCTCAAGACGCTTGGCGTACATGATGCCGTCATCCCTCAAGATGTCATACTCGGCGGTCAGGATGTAAGCCTCTGGGAGTCCTCTCAGGTCTTCTCGCATGAGAGGAGCGTAGTCTGGATCCAGGAGAACCTCTTTGATCTCATTGTAGATGCTCTCATCACCGAAGTTAGTTGAAGGAGCTTCGTAGGCCAGTCTGTTTGAACTCGTCCGGGATGAGGTCGTGGGACAGGCACTTGTGGGCCAGTGGGGATGTTTTTGCGGCCGAAGAGGTGTGCTTGTTAGTCTTCATCGCCGGCCCCACATCTTTGCCAAGGTACTTGCTCCACATCATGGTCATGAGTGGCTTGTTGAGCTGAACCCAGTAGTTGCCATTCCTTTGGTAGGAGGGGGTGGTAAAGTCGAAGGCTTGCAGGTGAATAGATCAAGACTTGCAGCTTAGGCTTGGGCAAATCACGGTACTTTGGTCAAAGGTCAGGCGTTGTGCCACCGCTGCAGCTAGGTTCCCACCTGAACTGTCTCCCATTACAGCAATCCTGGTAGGGTCGACGTGTAATCGCTCAGGTGCTTCAGGAACCAGACCGTAGCAACTGTGCAGTCGTCTAGCGGCGCGGGAAACGGATATTTGGGCGCCAGTCGGTAACTGTAGAAAAATATTACCATATTGGTGATGATGATGTCACCTACTAGTTGACTTTTTATTGAGTTATTTTGGATCTATTAATTGGAGAACACATTTGTTGTTAATAAGTGAGAGAGTTTGCGGTAACACCATGTGGAAATATCTCTTTTGTGAGTATATTATGTGTGGTTCTGAAGAGAACCTGTTGGGTTAACTCGACGTTGCGAACAGTATGCTCCGTTGTTGTGGTGGTGGTGGTGGTTGTGGTGGTTATGGCGGTGGTTGTGGTGGTTAATTGTGGTGAATGTGGAGGTTGTGGTAGTTGTGGTGGTGGTGGTGGTTGTTACCTACACGAAATACTCGCCAACTTACTCGACTGAAAGCACCACAGCATTCAGTTCCTTTGCCAACTGCGCCGTCAAGGATGATACATATCTGTGAATAAACCGTATTAAACGACTTGAATAAAATAACCAGAACGCGCACGCGAGTTTTCCTCCAATAGGAGTCTTGGAAAGTGGTGACGAAGGGCCATCTATTGTTAATGCAAAATGGCAACAAGGCTATACCATAGGCCATAATGTGCAAGTTTGTGTGGTGATTAGCTTCGATTTTCTGCTGAATTAGAAAGTTTCTCCGGCGATATCAATAAGAGAGGAACACTACTTTTCGGTTTTTGAGACGATGCAGTTCAACTGATTGAAAGTAATTTTGTGAAGACACTGGCGATTTTGCTTAGTACTGTAATGGTAAGAGTCAGTTTTGATAGCGGCGTTCAGCTGTCATAAGTGCTCAAAGCTGTGAACACCATTTTCAAAAAAAATAAAACATCATACTGCGCACGCGCAAAGGTGATCAGATCAATGGACATAAAACTAGCCACCAGTCACATATTTTATAGGGCAGGGACCAGTCTACATTAAAAGCGTCATCAAAAGCTCACCAGGGCTACCCATGACCCAGCCGCCGCCGTGATAGAAGACGATGGCCGGCCGTTTATCGGTTCTTCCCTCCGGTTTGCTCACGGCAAATATCCGGACTGGTACCCCGTCAAGCACCGTGTCTGTGTACGGTATACTCTCGGCGAGATTGCCCGCTTGTTCGCTCTGTATCGCCTCTCTAGCCAGTTGTTGATGCTTGTGGGTATCAAACGGGTTAGACATAAACTTCTACAAAAAGAAGGAAAAAAAAACTAGAGATTGTGGTTGTAAACTAAAACAACCACACAGCTGATCCCAAAATGTTTTGATTGTATATTGGACGGTACAAAATGATTGAATGATTTTTCAAAAAAGTGTCGCTTTTTAAACTTGATATTATAATCTTTAACAATGACTTTAACATGACTTTAACATTCCACACTGACATTTGAAATCGGGAACAACTACAAAATCTTTTATTATAATACAGTGAAAATTAGGATCAGATGAAAGATGTATGAAAACTATTTGACATCCCATTTTGGTTAATTTTATTGATAGTGCACTTCTTTAAATATAAAAAAAGTCCCTGCTTTTGCGGTCATCTGAGGGAAGGCACTGATCAGTTTACGGCGTCTCCTGCTAAAATTGTTATCCCAAACAAATCTTTGAAAACATTTGTGAGGAAGGGTTGATCATTGGCCGACTGCCACCAAACGACGGATCACCAAAGAAAAGAAAATTTAAGACTGCAAAATATCCAAAATTCTAGCAACTTTTTGTGCTGAAATAATCGTAACATTGAGTTTCTGCCCGGAATGACATTAGCATAAAAAACAAAAAAAGGCTCCAAAAAACCTTTAAAAAAAAGGCAAAAGGCAAATAGAAATTGAGGTTAGGCCTACTGGAACACCGAAGGTGCATTCAAGGACTGGCATTTAAAAAACTGTATTGCATGAGCCCTTTAAACCCTACCTCATTTCAACCAATTCGTGGCCTAAGTGCTATGTTTAATTGTCTTACGTATATTTTTTTCCATTCCCAACCTCACGTAAACATGGCCTTCAACAAATACGATGTGTACTTACGAACATGACTCTGTACGAAGCCAGTCTGACCCTCCATGGGCTGTCGGCTACGTCATTTGGGGAACGGTTCGATATAAACCATGTATGCTATCAGACACACCACAGAGGCGAGAACCAGACCAAGCAACTCGCTTACCGCCATGATTGTACGATTCAAATATATTTCAAATTGAAAACTTGATCGCTGTAGATGGACAAAAAACCTCTCTCCTATTCGTATCACCGTGTGCTTGTATACACGCCACACACTGTAAGCACACACAGACCTATCGGGGCACAAGGTCGATGCGCACTGTTGTAATGGCGGCAGTACCCTGCGCCATGTATTGTCGATACGCGCCGTTAATATTTTTTTGCACCTCAGTATAGTCATTGACGAAATACACACACGTGAAACATATCGCGTGACCAGAATATATCATATCTCTTCAGTTCTTGTATCTGAAGTTGTTATGTGTTTTACTCACGTGCATCTCACAACGGGGTCGATATTGTATGTGGATGCTGTGCTATACCGTTTTTTATGGTCGTCATTTGTCTTTTTTAACATTTTAAGTGTTTATAACTTTTTACATTAGGAAAAAAATGCATGTATTTGTCTTTTAATGCATGACGAATAAATAATCTTAATCTTAATTCTTATAGTTATGTGCTGCGTATAAATCGGTGGTTTATTATTGTGCAAGTTCCAGGTTCGATTCGTGGGGAAAATTGTCATTATTCCCCCCCCCCCCAAGTGATTTGTCTCAATAAATTATGTGTAGGCCTAAATCAGTGTTGATGATCGATAAAATATATTTCACCCTTTTCTTCTCATTGGCTCTGGAGGAATAAAAAAAAAAGTAAGGGAAGCTCAGCCGAGAGAACCATTTCGTTTACAACTGACGCATGTGCATTATGGTCATGGACTTTACTTGGTTGCAAAAAAAATAATTGTGTCGGTACCGGTACAAAACAACCGCTCCTCGACGGTTACTGGGCATCGTCATCGTGAGTGTACATTGAACCATATGCTTGGATTGGTCCATAGAGAGAACAATGAACTTCATAGCCGGCCCCTGGCAAGACTAGGTAAACAATGAAGAGAGCATCTAGCTATATAAATTATATATAATTTAATATAGCTCTATGTGCGGGAGTGAGTCAGAGGAAGTCTTAGTTCAAGTCGTCAATAGTTGTGTAGGTGTTGAGTAGAACACACTACCGAATTGACGATTACTATTTATGTGCGAACTGATAGTGGATAAGATTTGAATGTTTGATTTTCAAGAGAGTATAATAAGAGTTTAAGTTTACATTATACTATCTCTTTGTTGAGTGTTTGAGGTTCTGAAAAGAATCGAATGATTGATAGTGAGACAGCTCAACGACCGATAAACTACTTTCTTGAACTGATATGCAAAGTGAATTTTTCCTGATCTTAAAGTTTACAAGTGAATTTCTCGGTAAACAGACAAAACTCACAACGAACAAAGAGGTGAATATATACTGGTTGTCTTTGTTTTTAAATGTTTATCTTGAGTTAAAATCAATACACTTTCAGCCCAAATCCAACTGATACATTTCGATGTATTAAACTTTTTAAAGGGTATTAAACCAAAAAAATAAACAAACATAATTACATTGATCTTTATGTTTTAAATCATATTATGAGTGACTCCGACAACAATGCTTAAAAATTTCAAAGAAGATCACCATCATCAGTTTACAAATACATGACTTTACTTTATTCTTGCAAACTTTCCCGAATAGACCAGTAAAATATTTTTTTACTTTATTTCACCAAACCACCGAGCCTTGACAGACACGGCACACCACTAACACTATAAAAATAAAGCATCTTCGATTCATCCCTGATTTCCATCTTTTTCAGAAGAATGTCAAGGCGCTTTCTGGTGAAATTTAATAAAATCTGCTAGTGACAGATCGGCCGACGGAGAGCCAAAAGACTCCGTTTGTTCCGCTAAACATGGAGTGGAAGCCGTTCGGATAATGCTTCCAAGTGACTGGCACTCCCGCCTTCTCCAGACGCTTGGCGTACATGATGCTGTCATCTCTCAAGACGTCATACTCGGCGGTCAGGATGTAAGCCTCTGGGAGTCCTCTCAGGTCTTCTCGCATGAGAGGAGCGAAGTCTGGATCCAGGATGACTCTTTTATCTCCTTGAAGATGTCTTCATCCCCGAAGTCGGGTGGCAGGCTCTTTATAGCTAGCCTGCTTGAAACTCATCCGGGATGAGATCGTGGGACAGGCATTCTTGGCTAAGGAAGATGTCTTGGCTTTTTACGAGTGTGTAAATTCTCAGACATGGAGTGCTCAGATAATTCTGTTGCGATGTACATGGCCAGAACTCGGCCATCCTTACTCTGTCGAGAATCACCGTAAAATGTTCTCC